CAACAAAACGATCGTAACGATTGTCCTCAAAAGCCACATCCAGTTGATAAACGCGCATGAGACATAAATTGCCTTTATTTATTCACCGATTTGGCTTTGGCAAACTAATGAATCTTCAATTAATTCTGCTCGGGAACGTCGCCTTCGGTTAATATATACTTTATAATGATGTCCCTATTTAACACCGATCCCTTTAATCTCGCCTTTAGCTAATAATTAAGATCTCTATAGAAGTTACCTTCAGTGAAATAGGAAAACCTTCCAAAATAACCAATTTAAATCGTTTTAATTTTGCCTTTGAAGCAATTTCGGAAGCAGATACAAACAAGACCAATTTAATAATTGATACCAGCAGTGTTTTGATAGTATTCCTACAGTAATTCACATTTCATGCTAATTTCAAGGTGTCAATGATTCTTTTACCAACAAATATAAGGTGTTTCTGAAATAAGTTAGAAGTTTGCAGGAAGTAATAGGGATCTATAAAACAAGAAAACTAAGTAAATGTTTAGTGGTCTGAAAGTCTACCGTTTCAGAGAAGAAGGTATATAAAAGCACAGACAAGGGCCAGTCCGGCTCTGGTAAGATCACGTTGGAAAATATGACATTGCAACGCCTCATTCAATCAGCTACTATACATCATCCGAGTTGTATTTCTTTTGTATTTTTGTACTAATATGTTTGTTATTTGATAGATTAAATTAGGCGTGATTGACTATGTTTATGTTTACAATGGATTGACCACTGCGTGAGTTTTTGGACGGATATTTTCCTGGACACTGGAATGGACGTTTGGGTCCTATACCATGGCCGGTAAGTAGTGTTGATCTAAATCCATTTGACTTCTTTGTGTGGGATTGTTAAAAAAGGTAACGCACTTTGACAATACCTCAATGGTGATTTTGAATTTTAATAAAATTACAGTTACCTATCCGGAGGATATTACGTTATCCATTAAAGTTTATTAACGTTAATTTTTTCTTTTTTTTTAGTCCATATCGAGGTGTACCTCAAATAGTACTACATATTGTAAGTAGTTATTTAATTAATTATACATTTTTCATCCTTGTATTTTCTTAGTTATCATCGCATTTCCCTATATGTTGCCAATTCACGATCAGGTCCGGCTTCGGATTGTAATTTCGTCTGGTTTTCTTCCAAATTTTTTTGTCTCTTATTAACCACGCTGGTTTACTCACCATGCGATTCTCTATTGCAGTGATTCCCAACCGGTGGTTCGCGAACCCCTGGGGGTTCGCAGTGTTTGCAGAGGGGGTTCGCGAATATAATATTGTAATGGCGGATTTTTTAAAACGGCAATAAAATGCCTCTATGTTAAGAAGTTTATAATAAATTTCAATATTTTCATTTCTTTTTTACTTATTTGTTTTTCAAAATTACTTCATCCTCTTATTCTAGTATCATGTTCTGCTTTATATTCAAAATCAATGCAGCAGTTTTCCCTTCTATGTAATACTTTTTTTTACAATACAATTGGAAATAAATATCAAATTAAGGCAGTTTACTACATTTACATCATTTTAGTCTTATTAATTTTTTATTTAAATGTTTCGCGATTAATATAATCAATTATTCTGCAATATGAAAAATATATAAATTCTATCAAATGTTATTGCTTTTTTTACCTGTCAACGACTACATAGGGGGTTCGTCAAATGTTTTCAGACGCTTCTTTTGGTTCGCGAGGAAAAAAAGGTTGGGAAACACTGCTCTATTGCATCTAGCTGACATTCTTCAAAGCTTGTTACTTATTTCAGAACACGCTGTATACACAACGATATAGCTACTTTAGAATAGCATTAATCTTCAGATGTGCGAATTTTGTAACTGCGTAACTGGAGGTCAAGGTTCATGTCATTTTAAATTACCTCTACTCACTTTGTAGTAAGTTGATTACGCATTTGTTTATCACCCCACCTTATACATTTTCGCAAGAGAAATGAGAGGCTGAAAACAATACTAACGTAAATTAAACGTAATTTAATTTTTCTGCAAATTGCCACTTGGTATTTTGGGAAAAACATGGTAGGAAGGTGAAAAAACTTACATTCCATTTTAACCTTATCTACCAAAAATATCTTAAAAACATTTTTGCCTACCGATTTCTCTGGGGTTTGAAACAAACTCGAAGTTATATTTTTGGCAATTTTTTAATACATTTGAACGCGTATTTAATGAAGTCCTTGGAGGGATTTTAATCTACATTAATAGAATATTCATTATGAATTCGCCTCCTCCGCTGGTTCGGATTGTGGATTTTAATTTATATAGCTTACGAAAGTTGATGAAAGCGGCAAATTGGCATTATATATTCATCTTCTGTAAGAAAAATTACAATCCAGCGGAAAAAAAATAAAGTTATTACAGATTTATTTCGTTTTATTTTTATTTCTTCGTTTATTCGTAAAAATAACTAAATGTTATTAAAGTTTTATTCCATCTATGTTACGTTATTCAAACATTACTTCTGAACAAAAATACAAAAGATTCTTTAATAATAATGGAATACAATATCGATAGTTGTTGTTTATAGCCAATTACAAACAAGTAAATGTTAAAGATAGTTGCAAATGGCCCTTTTGATTGTAGGCAATTCATGATAGAAGTTATTTGTCAATATTTTAAATATCTTTAACTGCTGGTGAAATTATTATTAGCAATCAACAACTTATTTTCTATCTAACTTAAATACTTTAGCATTAGTATATATTTATATCCAAATCAGTTTCAGCACAGTCGTCTCTACTTACAAGCCGTGCTGAAGGTTTACTTGGCAACACTGTGGGAGTCCAAGGATTTCCCAGCTAATGATAGTTACAACTAATACATTGGTTGTTGTGTTTCTTTCATTGTTCTATAATATTTTAATTTTACCGGAAATAACGTGCAATAAATGTGCAATAAGGATTCTTATAGTGTGTTTTAGTGATTAATACCTTTGGATACAGTTTTTAATTGTAGAAGGTAATATTAACTATTAAGTGAAAGAAGTGAAAATGTTTTAGGTCAGACTGTGTGTTTTAGTTTAAATTTTCTTGTTTATTTCTTAACAAAATGCCTCGTCGTTGTTGTGTTCTCCGTTGCAATTCAAATTATAAATCATCTTTAAAATGTAAGTACTAGGGTCAATTGAAAAGTCCCCGGCCTGACACATAGGTGGCGGCACCAGAACTAAATCCATATGATTTTCAGTTAAACCTAACCTTCAAATGACGCGTCTATAAATTTGACGGCTGTCGGATCATTAGTTTGTGAATTATAGCATTTTTAGTGAAGCAACTTTTGTTATTGTGAAAAAAATGGATAAAAAGGAATTTCGCGTGTTGATAAAATATTGCTTTTTGAAGGGAAAAAATACAGTTGAAGCAAAAACTTGGCTTGATAACGA